TTCCTATCCGTGAAGTGTTGATGCGCCAAGATTGTTGGGATGATTTACATTTCCAGCCCTCCTTTTGATTCTCCTAGTAGCTTCTTGGAGACATTTATCACCTCCACTAAAATGTTCTTGATTGCATTTCCTTCATTCCAAAATTTTAAGTTCCATTTCAAGTTCTCTTTTTGTAACTCTTTGTTCAGTCGGCTTGATCATACCATCCAAAGTATGCCCTCCTAAAAACCCAATACTTCCAGGCTCATTTGTTGGTGTCTGATATTAGGTGCTTCCTATCTATTAATTCATATCCCTTAATACAGAACTCCTTCCATCCTGCCCACCGTCATAGTAAGCTTTACTACCACAAGTGAACATGGGCTTCCAAGCGCCTTGGCCTTTCATAAATGCTCGGTATGGCGATTAAATATTCTTCCTAGCATGAGCTTATATTTGCCAGTATTATTTTCTATCACCACCTATGGCCCAGGAAACCTTTAACTTTCAATCCAAAGGGCCCATGTTACTGCTTTTAATTTGGCCTCACTGTTAAATGTAAGACCCAATAAATGAACATTTTGTAATTTTCCTGTTCATAAATTTCTCAAAATTAGGAATTAGATCAGTTTTATTGCGTAAGAGTCAAATCCGCAAAATAGACAGGTTGTGGAAAAAGCTAATGATGAAGCGGGACCCAAAGTTGAGGAATGGACGAAAAAACCAACAACCCCACATACACATACAAGCAAATGATGATTATTAAATATAACATGAATTTATATGATGAAACGATATTAAAACTCAGGCTTAGATCATCCTAGTAATCAAAAATTATAGATCCGGCTGCCCTGCTTCACCAAAGTAAAACTTACATTAGGTCGGCAGAGTTTGGCATCCAAGGAAAAGCCACCACCGACTCCAAGGGTGCCGAAAGGGGGCAGATCAAATGAAGAAAGAGGCCTAATAATATAAGAAGCAGAAGCCACAAAGTCTCCGCCTTCCACCACTTTTATGTTGTCTTCGTTATCTACAGCCGCCGAAGTTGCATCAGCTGGGGACAGTTCAGTCTAAAACGAAAAATACATAATAAGGATGCAGAGTAAATGAACTAGACAATGTTTAAAGAAACCTCCTAAGGCAGACAATGGATAGTGTGTAGATTTAGCCCAGGGTAAGGCATAAATGAGCATATGATAGAATATGAAATGACAAAAGTACTGGCCTTTCTTGAAATTCACATTTACCCTGTGACCCAAGCACATTCGTGGCAGTGTGGCCGAGTGGTTAACATGTCAAGCCCCCATTCTGCACTGTCAAGGTTCGACTCCCACTGAGTGTGTTGATTACACCGATGCGAGGTCGAAACTGCAGTCCACTGGTGCCTGGATGAGAACACATTTTTGGAAAGCAAGGCTATGTGGAATTTAATGAAAACGTCAGCTCAACTCATATCAATGTGGGAAAATCTTCTACCAGTCCTTCATCACCTTAAACGAAATTGGGTGAATACATCTCATATTACTGATTTACTGATATTCTCAAAACAATACTTAAATGCGAAAAATATAGTTACGTAGTCGATTATTATAGCAAATATACGTTTGCTTCATCGACAATCCCACCAAAGAATATGATATGACAAAAGGTCTGGCCTTCTTTGAAATTCACATTTGCCCTGTGACCCAATGGCACTCGTGGCAATGTGGACTAGTGGCTAACGTGTCAAGCTCACATACTATACTGTCATGGTTCGATTCCCACTGGGGCTGTTGATAAGACCGATGCGAGGTCGAAACTGCAGTCCACTGGTGCCTGAATGAGAAAAACTTTTGGGAAAGCAAGGCTATGGGAAATTCAATGGAAACGTCAGCTCTACTCATATCATTGTGGGGAAATTCTTCCACCAGTCCTTCATCACTTTAAGCAAAATTGGGTGAATACATCTCATATTACTGATTTAATGGTAGTCTCGAAACAACACTTAAATGCGAAAAATAAGTAGGCATAACAAGTCATATAGATAGATGAATTAATGCATGCATTGAGATATAAATGGACGGCTGATTTATTTTAATTCTTGATTTTAAGAAACCACAAACAAGTGCTAGGTATATTCATAATTAATAAACAGCGTTGCTAGACTGAGAGTGTGAATAACTTTCACATTTCAGCATCATGAGATGGGACCCTTGTTGCGTTAGCCTGTTCAGCTCTTGCGCCTAAAGAGCCTTCACCTATTAAAAATACTCCACTGCCGTGAGATAATAATAATAATAATTAAACTTTTCTTATCTTGAGCATGTGAATGAGACAGTGTTCAAATATACTGGCACACAGAACTATTCAGCCTGGCATCATCCACAAGCTAGAAATTCTTGATAAGCGATATGGAGAACATGAGTAGCAGAATAGGAGGGTAAATGGTGAAGCAGCTGTCATATCTGTCTTGGAAGCAGAGATAACTCAAATGCCGTCTATGAAAGCTAATATAAACGCATGGAATTCCGTATAATAGTCTTAACTTTCCTATTCTTATATGATGTTTCTACACGATCAACTTGTAGTCACTCCTACCACTTAACCACTTAAATTCATTAGATGTGAGTCGTTTCCTTGAGCTTATTCTTATACCCAAATTTCATACTTTTTTATTATATGTCTTCCTAACCTGTAGGAAAATCTTATCATGTAAAATATCCGCTATAGACTAGAGTTTTAGCAAGTCTTTCGAACCATGAGCATCGGCCAAAATTTGCCTAAGTCTATCTTAGTTCTGATTAGGGAATGCAACTTTGCAACGTTTTTTTTAAGTCTAATATCAACCAAATCATGGCAGACGTCCAAAAGATCAGTCTTAGTCTTACAAGGTAAATTAGATCTAGAAATACTAAAAAATCTAAGTATACTTCTACGGGTAGAGCAAACTTTCAAAAAGCGAGTGTGATTGACTTGGCTGGCCAACGATTTTCTTCATATAAATAATTATGCCCGTATCTCAGGATTACTTAAGCATAAAAATTGTGTTTGCGTAAGAAGGGATGGAAATATTTTGGCCTACTTAAATACGTGGGTAGTATATCTTCAATTCCCAAAGTGTTTTAATGCATTTCATTAGGAGGTACGACAGTCTCAGCAGTCATTCAATAACATTGGAT